TTAAACAAGAAAAAAAAATAAGAACTCAAAATGAAATTAAAGGGACAGAAAAGAAAAAAAAAACACAATGCGGACCGGCAAACCTCTGAGGGAGAAAGCCAGTCGGGTTAATGAGGAAACAAATATGATGATAATTACTTTTAGAAGCTAAGAGTCTTCAAATCACAAATTTACCGGTTACTTTAGAGATCGCAATCCACACACGTGCTTTCGCCGTGAACGCAACTGACTTTCTCCTCAAGAAACGTACACAAACGGTTCTTTCGCACCTCGGCCAATTCAGTAAATCAAGTTGCAATGTCGGATCGAGATTTTCCCTATCAAGCGCGAAATATCGTTTCGAAGGACTAAAGAAAATGATTCGTAGGTATAACCGCGCCAAATGGTAGCACACACATTAAACAATATTTTTGGTGGGAATAATTGTGGCCTTGGTGTGTGTAGGATATTTTTTGTGAAATTATTTTTAGTGATTACTCTCATTCAGGTTCTAATTTCACTACTTCAAAAAATTGTTTCCTCATTAGACTTGTGTTGACAGCAGCGTTTTACTAAGATCTCTGTCAAGATATAGGCTCTATAAAAATTTCTCATTTAATCAGGTATTGAGTCGTTAGTTCACACGTCACGACACAATATATCATTAAAATTACACAATTATACAAATGGAAGCCCAGTAATCAGTAATGTGCTAGAAACTAAATCAATTTCCTCTTAACTAACTTGCCAGTGCATCATAGAACCTTGATGTACGCAGTTTTAAAAATTAATGATTGCATGAAAAAAATGTGTAGTCGGATTATAAATGCGTTTTTCTCATTTGCAAGGGTGAAGGGAAAGCTACTAACATTTCCGAAGGAATGTCGCTCCGAATCGGCACGTCTGCCGCCACTGGCGCTTATGCTCCGCAAATAAATTAAAGGCTAAAGACGCACGAATGCGTATACTTTTCAAAAATTTTTACAAATATTTTTAAGCTTCTCAGCGTATTGCTCAATTATGGAAAAAGGCGCTATTGTGCTCGTCATGTCCATCCGTCCGTCTGTCTGTCTGTCCGTCCGTGACTTCACGTTTTCGTGGACGAGAAAATGCGCTCTCTGTCACTCACTGCAGTGAGCCCTAAGTTATATTTTTTATGTAGTTGATAACTCTTCAAAATGTGCGCTTCCACTGCCTGATCGATTACAGTTTTCAAGTAAGATCAACACTAACCGCCAACCTCAACGCGAGGCGTAGAGAGCAACTTCAAATCGCTCTCTACGGCCGCGTTCACACAAAGAAACCTCCAAGCTTAATAATAATGTAATTCTGATTTTTCGCTCCCACATTATTGAAAAGTAAAACTAAAATCAACATCAGAATGCAGCTCGCATAACGAAAATGTTAGATTTTATACTTTATCGCTGAATTAATAAGAAGAAAGTGACCTATGCAGGGGAAAATAATTTAGTTGTTGAATGGGTATACACGTGAACGCGAGGGAAACTGAACTAAAGGGGCAAGCGTTTGACGGAAGCTGCAGCTTTAGTTTGTACAAGAAACATTTACAGTAGGTCTCGTCAAGTAATGAATTACCTGCATATCTAAACGTTAACATGAATATATCAAGTTGTAGTATGGTTTTGAGAGTAAAGGCAAAATAATTGAAAATTTGGTCTATAAAATAATCCAAATTGAAAATTACAATCTATTGTATGTTTGCCCGAAAACTTGTACTTCTAAATGATGCCAGCGAATAAAAAAATATAACGCAGTACTCATTGCAGTGAGTAACAGTAAGCGCATTTTCTCGTCGACGAAAACGTGGCGCCACGGACGGACGGACGGACGGACATAGCGAGCACATTAGTGCATTTTTTCCATAAATGAGAAAATGCGCTAAAAAGTCAGAAAAAACTTCGGCTTATTACAAAGGCAAAACAGAGTCTGTCTTTTCCAAAAAACTACTCGTAACTTAACATTATTAGCGTTACAATCTCAATTAAACCCGATGTTCAAAAAAAAGTTTAAAGAGCCCAAAAAGAGTTATGTATATACGTATACGTATCATCGCTACATCAATTGTATCATTGCTGTTGTTATTTTAATCATTATTTAATGATGTAAATTTCATTATTTATATGTGAAATGAATGAATATCTGTTCGGTGCACCATACACTTCCTGACACTGCACCACACTGTGGCACCCTACAGTCCTGGCACCACACTGTGGCACCCTACAGTCCCTGGCACCGCACCGCACAGTGGTACCACAGCAACTGAGGGCCACAGCGTCGTAAACGCTGCACTGGATCACACACAAAAAGAGAGGCGACAAAGAGAGAGACAGAGAAAGAGAGGAATGGTAGAAAAAAAGAGGAAAAGAGAAGTAAAAAAGGAGTAGACTATGTGTTTGCGGTTTAAAGCTAATTTGCATAAATGAATGGAATGAATAATGGAAGCAGCGAAATAACGAAAATGGTCAAATAAAAAATTAAATAACAGAACACAACATAAACGAGAATAATAAGAAGATATATATATATATAAAATGTAATATGTTTTCCACAGCATAACAAGATGGTAAGAGGCACAAAATAGAATCTATATATATAAAAATTATTTTATTTATATTATAGGTATTATATTAATTATATATTATAATTTATTTATATTATTTTATCATTATAATATTATTATAATCTATATAAATATAAAAATTATTATAACATATAAATATATATTTTTAATATATATATTGTCAGGAATGTATAATATACAAGATATTAAATTTAAGAGTTAAGTCGAAAATTTGCGATTGCGAACACAAAATTTTAAATTTTATTGATATAACGTTTAGAGCGTTCACTGCTTATATAAATCAATTAAAATAATTAAATGAACCTATATTTCATAATTTCAAGTTTTTGGTTATAAAAATTTTCGAATAAAAAATATAAAGCGAGTGAGACACACGGATGAATACAATATATACTATACTACCTACTATTATTAATAAATATTAGGAATTACTACCTTAATAAACTATAGGGAAATAAAGAGGATCACGGCCATAGCGCCCGACACAATATATCTTGACTATTTTACGAATCTTTTTTAATGGCTCATTTATTACAGCCTATTTTCACAAGCCTTTTTTCAACCCCATTCTACCCACCCTTTCTGATGACCTCATATCCTATTTTACAGTCTTTTTTCAACCTATTTCACTACGTCCCTTCTTAACAATCGTCTTTTAGCCCATTTTTAACTAGTGCTATTCCGACCCCGCGACACTCTTTTCACGCCTTTATCTAATAACCCTATTTCACGCCCCTATTTAATAACCCTATTTCACGTGGAGAGAGAGATGGGGGTTAGGGAGAGAGGGGAAGGGTAGAGAACAGACGAGAGAAGAGAGAAAGAGGGGGAAGAGAGAAGGGAGACAGAGGGGGAGAGATTGAGAGGAGTGAGAGAAGGGAGAGAGAAAGAGACGGAGAGAGAGGGGGAGGAGGAAGTGTGGAGAGAGAGCGGAGAGAGAGCGGAAAGAGAGCGGAGAGAGGCAACGTGTCCGGTACTGAGCAACATTGTGCGATTGGACCAATGAAAGAATGTTAAAGCATGAGAGAAAATGCGATGCAGGAAGAATATTTAAAGAGAAATTGAAGGTACGTGTTCAGAAAGAGAGGCACAATTAAGAGTAAAGGAAGATTATGCGAGGAGAGGATCGTAGTTGCTGTTGATGATAGCTGGAATGAGGGTCTCGATTAATGATATAAAATGAAAATGTAGGTATCATTGATGATACAAAATATAAATGCATCAATGACATCAACTTTCATGGAATATAAAAATAATAAAAATTTAAAATAATAAAAATAAGTAATACAATTTTCTACAATTTTGCGACCGAATGTAAAAAAATACTAGTTAGGGCCACCCTACTTTCTATAATAAATTTGCCAAAATATCTTCAGCATTAGGGATCAATGTATAATATTGCTTTGTAATTTTATCATTATATATGATACTTATTTATTTTACATGCAAAGCAACAGACAAAAAATCCGTCGAGTTTACTAAATGATTGTTCTCAAAAAGTCTGCGGATTTCACTCCCAACATTTAATTAGAGTGAGCGGTTCTCCACACGCGATAATAAATATAGCACTATCAACGCACATGATATTAAATATAGCACTATTAACGCATAGTTTATTTAATATAGCATTATTAACGCACAATATATTAAATATAGCACTATTAACGCACAAGATGAAAATACTGCGCATTCAATCATGATAAAATAATGAATAAACAATCTACTAAATATTAACTAATTAGGTTAGGAGATTAAATCTCCGCTCATGCATTACAGTAAACAAAGAATGATTATAAAGAATTGCATGGTAAGAACTATAAACAAAAGAGCAAAAGGTAAACAAAAAGTAAATGAAGAAATATATTTCTGTTATATTGGTTCGGAAAATTATTACCAGTGCCAGGAACCGGGAATGCTGGTAGCTCGATTCCCAAAACAGGAATTGCGCCTGAAGCCTCGAAATAAATATATTTGAATTTAATTCATTACTGGTTCAAAGGAAGCCATTTTGTTCATGTATGAAACGCAGACCATTTGTGTAGAAGGTTAATTTAGTGCATGTATGAAACACAGACCATTTGTGTAGAAGGTTAATTTAGTGCATGTATGAAACACAGACCATTTGTGTAGAAGGTTAATTTTGTGCATGTATGAAACACAGACCATTTGTGTAGAAGTTTCTTCCCTACGAAAAGGATAAAGAAAAACTCGACGGATGCTGTAAAGTTATTATCAGGTGACCTGTTAATAGAATATTACAATATATTATATAAACTAAAGTTACAGTATATCTCAAATAATATTAGCTTGGCTTATGCTGAAGAAAAGCAATAATGATATTTAGTATCGATATAAATAAAATATAATTATGTATGCATCAAGCGGAATTAAAGAATTTCTAGATATATATGATGGTCATACGAGCTAAATTTATGTTATAGGATATAAGATCAAATAAAGTTAATTGTATCCATTAAAAATAAATTGTCAAGTAATGAAACCTCTAAAATTCGTTAATAATATAGACGATTTCGTAATGCACATTACTAAGCGGAATTTAATTGAATCATGATTAGTCCTAAGAAAATCGTTTAACGCAAGAGACGTCATGGTTAATAATCATGGTAAATTTTATTATTTATTGAGCCTAAATAATTTTAACTTATTGCGCAAACAATGCATTTGATTATCAAGTTGACAAAATTATTGATTTATTCAGTGATAATTGGAGTACACAGCTTCAATAATTGATGTCATCAGTGTTGATTAATAATTGGAAACACGCTGGTCCTTCAATAAGCTTTCAAGATATAATTTTGACATAAGGTTCTCATAAATAATAAAATAGTAATGCTGCTGTGGACACCGCTCTAAAAAATCTGACCATGAAGTTTAGTTCATGAAATTTCCTGTCAAAAATGTACAACTTTTAAAAATAAAGTTTTAAAATCATTTTTGGTTACAGGGCTTGCCTTAAATTCTGCAGTGTTAGTGTGACGACCCTATACCCTAAATATGACACCTAGGGTATCAATTAACTTATTGTTCTCTGGTATAACTCTGTAATATTGTGGACGTGTGGAGATCTATAATGTGCCTGATTTATTCTCTAGTTCTACTTTATATCAATGAATGTGTGGAGACATCTTCTAGGGTATTATTTTGACACTAATTACCTAGGGCAACGCGTAGACCGAGTTAATTTCTCCCCCGAACTGCGCAGGCCGCTGCGCGCATACGCAGCCTATTTGAACTGTGATCATTTCAGGGGAAAATGGCTTACCGCTAGACCCCCTCTCACTGAACCTCAGCCATGTGGCGACCTTCTTGTAAACTGGAACACATCGAAAGTCTGCCCCTTTAGATGAACACTTTGAATACACACAAAGACATTTTGCCTCTATGAGTTTCGGGGGGAACGAGCTTGGTCCAAGATCCTTGGTGACCAACAAAGAAGGACACCAACCCAAGTGCGAAACTTTCCGGACCCACAGCGGGGTTATGGCGAGGTTGGACATGTCCACAGGAAAAAGGGGTAAGTCCAGTTGGTCACATTGAGCACTTTGTAGTTCTCCCAAAACCGAAAACTCCACCAAGCTCCTCGGTACATCGGCAAAAAAGTCCAAATACTTGTTGACCACTTCTTCGGCATCCATTCCGTTCAGACAAGTTCGACAAACCCCATCGGCATTACAGCAGATGATCCTTTTACGCCGACGTTCAATTTGGGAAAAGGGGAATACCGTGACATTTCCAGTTCCGTCTTTTGGTTCATCAAAATCATTAGAAGAATTATTACCGATATTTTCATTCTCATTTGCTTTCTCAAGGACAAGACTTTCGACGGGACTATCCCAAGACTCGGTTCTTTTGCGGCTGGACTTTGAGAAGCCGTAACTGGAGAGTTCCTGGCCAAGACGTGACCTCGAGGCAACGTTCCGCCATGGATTCACGAGTACCTCTTTTTCAATTGGTGGAACTTCTCGAGCATGGCCCCACTTTGCTTTGTGTCGATGCTTGCCTTGACCATAAACTGTCCCCTGAATTTCCCCATTTTGAAATCTGATTCCCCTGTTGTGGGGCCATTGGAACATCGTGAACCATCCTACCAAAGAGACTGCCTCAGAGGTGACCACGTCTTTGGGGATGTACGACGATGTCTGGATTTCCCCAAAGGGGTTACGCCAGGACAAGAAGTTGGATGCCGATGTTTGACCATGGGAATGTAGAGCGAATATCATCAAGGAAATGTGGAGTAATGATAGCGACGACCCCGCATGGCGGGTAGGGATCGGCATGCCCCCCAAGGCGGCTGGGGGTAGGCAGGATGACCGTGGAATAGAAATTCCCTGCAAAATGAGAAAAAAAAACAAGAAAAATATAATTATTTGATAATTTTCAGTGCATTGTACGATATAAACAATGTTTTAACATTACGTAGTCACGGAACATTCGTTTTTGTTATCGTATGCCCAACGAGAACTGATTTTTCGAGTTTATTGTCGGCTTGAACGAAACTTAATGCGATGGTCATCCGAAATATGATTTATTACAGTTTTCACATGATATAGATGCACCATAATTTTCCTTTGGATAATGTTAAAATCTTTATAGTGAAAGAAGATGGGTTGGTACACCAGAAAATATTAAGCACTCTGCATACTTTCTTCAGTTATTCGTTGCTTAAATCAAGTTGACTTAGTAAGTGATCAAGTTGGAGGGAACAGTTCAAGTTTAAGCTCAACATGAACGAGATAATGTTGAAGAGAATCAAAGTCGTTTAACAAGCGAACCCTTAGACTAACAGAAAATATAATCACCTACTCTAAGTAAATATTTTTTATATTAAACTAATAATCGATAATCACATAAAAATACAAACCTGCAGCTCCAGGGACGACGTGAACGCTTTGCTGCCAGCCAGCGACTGACACGCACGGTGCGAGTGGCTTGCTTATATACGTGCCTTGTGGGGGGTGGCTCACTTATATACCTTCACTGGAGGGGGAGGGGGGGGGAGGGTATGTTGCTTAGGGGTAACTTGCTTATTTGCCTTTAATCACTACACACTCTGTTGACGGGAACTCTTAACTAAAAGCCAAATCAAGGGTAAAAACAGCACCAAGGTCTTTGATTGGCTCTTAGGAGTGGGCTTTTGATTGGCTCTAAGGTGTGTGATTAACGAGTCCAATCAGACAGCGATTCTTCTTGACAGCAGATTTTCAAATCGCAATTAAAAAAAAAAAGAGAAAAAATTTAGAAAATTTTCGTTGGCTGAGGATTGACTCACAACGAAATTAATAAGATTGTATCAGCCAAAAAACAAAGATTACGAAAGAAAATCAATTATTAAAATGAATGGTGTGATGAAAATGAAATCAATTAATATATAATAACTGCAATTCTCCATTACAACAAAAAGTGATGAAACTTGATTCAATTAAAAGATAACCTGGAATTGAAAACAAAATGACGTACGTTGTTAGTGAGCATTAAAGAGCGCGGGAAAAGATTTTAGAAAGGAATGCAAACTCAAGTAATGAATTCATTTTCAATTAAAAAAATAGACATTCCAGACTAGCTAAAAAACGCTTCGGATTCCAAACATTCCGTAAAAAAGCTCGACATTCAAATTCAACTTTTGAGGAGAATAATTCAGAAAATTAATGGGAAGAAGATAAATTATTTGAATGTTTAATGTGGATTAATTTGAATTAATGGGAAGAGAATTAATGATTCGAAAATTATTGATTTGATTAAAATTAATGATTTGAAAATGATTAATTAATCACTCAGAGAAAAAGTAATGGGTTATATTATCCAAATAGTAACACACTCTGCACGCAGCACTGACGAGCCCTTGTTCAGAGGCAAACCGGAATAGGATGACCCATGCAAGAGAAAGGCATCGTTATTTGGCCATGTCTTACTGATTTCTTTGAGTGTTATCTAGTTTATTATAAAACCTAGACTATAGATATAGCAACCTATATATATCTATAGTTCTACTACATAGATGCTCTAGTCACACTTGTGCTATACGTAGTGAAAGCGCACGCAGCCTAGATGAACGGTCAGAGATTTTTTTCATTCAAAATTGCATTTAATTTTTAATAACGTGAAGGAGTGAAGTGACAGAGGAAATTTCCGTAGATGTTTCCTAGATTTTTTAATTAAAAATGTATTGCAATTTCAATGAAGGAATAAAGTAAAAGACGCAAGAGCTTTTCTAAGATTTTTTCCCGTTTTTTTTATTAAAAATTTTTTAAATTATGATGTAAAGGAAAAGAGTAAAAGAGGAAGAGCTTTAAGTAGATTTACTGTACTACTACCGACACATGTACAAATTATACATCAAATGCAAGCTGTGAACGCACCACTTACGCTAGTACATTCATAACTACCATGCTTAATTCACTGTAATACACGGTAACTGTACCGTGCATAGCATCGTGTGAATGTCGTCATTGCACGGCAAACATTGTCATGCTACGGTACCGTGCATGTGCCAGAGGCACGATACCGTGCAGCTGCCAGAGGCACGATACCGTGCATGTGCCAGAGGCACGATACCGTGCATGTGCCAGAGGCACGATACCGTGCATGTGCCAGAGGCGCGATACCGTGCATGTGCCAGAGGCGCGATACCGCGCATGTGCCAGAGGCGCGATAACGAGTAGCACGGTAATCCATGTAAAGTACAATGCCACTCCAGTTAGCTTTAATATGGGCAAATTTTAAGTCGAATTTTGCAATAAATCACGCGACTAAACCATGAACCAGTGCATAGGCAAAGTAATATCTAAAATATGAATTTTCTCTGGAACTTAGTAATCAAACTCAAACATATTGAATTAACAACGGACAAATTAGGCATAAGTAACGCAAAAGATGCGTACACTCAAAGAAATGAATGTTTTAAATTTACTCAATTTATCAGATGAGGTGTGGACGTAGCACTGATACGTCCTTTTGCAAGGCTAAATTGAGTCAGGATGACCCACACAAACGCAATAAGTGCATTGCTTTTCGGACAAAGTCTCACTCATTTTTCTTACTGAAGCAAATGTCCGAATGCCGAGACCTAAAAATAAATTTTATAATAACATGTTTTTCTAAGATCGTAAAAATAATTTTCTTCAGTGGACGTTGCAAAGGCGTACGTATCCTTTATAAAAGGAGATATTCTACTACAGAATTTCAGCTAACTCGTTAAAATTTGGTTAGAAAAACTTTTTAGTTTTGCTTCATGAAAAAAATTAAGAAAAACTATGCGTTTATGCAGAGAGTTTAAGCGAATCCTAAATTTTTTTTAGAGAAGGCAGACTTTCCTCATAAGATTGACATTCACATCTCTTTATTAATAAACTTATTTTCTGAAAACTTATTAAAAATTATTAAGGTTAAGCAGAATTCCCATAAAACCATCCATTTTTTCTCAACCAAATCGTTACAACTTATCGCTAGCGAGGTCCGTATTAAAACTATCATAACAGTTTTAGCCTTTCTTTTTCATACTAAAAAGAAAAAACTATGTATAAGTCCTAGAATCACGATTCTTAATCGGTCACTAAACTAAGGTATAAAAAATAAATGATGAATATCATCCATTGAATGATCCGCTATAAGCCGAAACTAGATCCATACATTCGCATACATTCCAAAAATATATTTAATGTTTTTTAAAACAAAACTTACATCGATTCAAAAATGAATATACCAAAAAAATTCGACATCCAGATGCAGAGAAAAATACACGTGTCATATTGTCGAAATAGCGACCCACTTTCTCACCCACGGCGCTGGAAGTGGGTCACGATGACGCGCTCGATGACGAAAAGTGAATCATTATTAGCACGCCGCAATAAAGTTAAATTAACGTATTTTCAACCCAGGGGTTGAATGAAACGTATTTTCAACCCTTGAGTTGAACTAACGTTTTTTCAACCCTTGAGTTGAATTAACGTATTTTCAACCCTTGAGTTGAATTAACGTATTTTCAACCCTTGAGTTGAATTAACGTATTTTCAACCCTTGACTTGAATTAACGTATTTTCAACCCTTGAGTTGAATTAAACGCATTTTCAACCCTTGAGTTGAATTAAACGCATTTTCAACCCATGACGTCATCCACGAGGCTAAAATCAAAACCTGATTTCAATATTACCCAAAAATTCGTAAATGATAATAAATATGATAGTAACTTACGTTTGCTTTTAGACATCTCATTAGCAGCTGTACTATATATAGCACAACAGAAGTAGCGTACAGCTGTATTAGTACAGCAGAAGTAGCGTACAGCTGCACTAGTACAGCAGAAGTAGCGTACAGCTGTACTAGTATAGCAGAAGTTGAACAAGTTGTAGTTATAGTTTATCAATGTTAAATGTATAATAATTATTACACCAAAAGCACATCGTACTCCAAGCTTCCTGCGTGTACAATCTAAGTACTGTACAATATGTACATAAAATAGAATAGTAGCAAAAACCTGAAGGAAGTAAAGAAACAACTTGATGTGAGAGTGAAACTTGATGGTGAATGAGCACTAACAGCACTAACACGCACGGTTCGTGCACATGAAATACGTACACTAACACGCACGGTTCGTGCACATGAAATACGTACACTAACGGAATGCTTAATAATTCTAATTATAAAATAATTCCATTTAAACATTCATCAAAACTTTAGTCCAATTCTTCGCAGGAATTTCAGGCGCAAATAAATTTCGTACTTTTTAGTAGGAGCGTGACATAAAAAACACGCACGATACGCATGACACGCACGATTCGTAGGTTCTAATTACGATAAACTATAAATCCTAATATTTAATAACTTTAGTAATAATTAATAATCAGTTCATTAAGTTCCAATTGAGAATGAGGGCCGAAGAATCCCATTAGTTCTAATGGAGGACGCACAACTAATGGGGGCCACCGAATTACCCATTAGAATAATAGACCGCGATGTTTAATTTCCATTAGTGAGAAAAAATGAAATCGATTAACATTAATGGTAATTTGGGTGACGTGTGTGTTAAGGGGGTAATGGAGGGACATGAAGGGGGTAATGGAGGGACATGAAGGGGTAATTGAGGGACATGAAGGGGTAATGGAGGGACATGAAGGGGGTAATGTGGGGTAATGGAGGGACATGAAGGGGTAATGGAGGGACATGAAGGGGTAATGGAGGGACATGAGGGAGGTAATGCGAGAAGCGATGAAGCAGAATAGAAAGAAAGAAAAAGATTAAGAAAGAAATGGACGGACGTATGGAGAGAGCAGCAGCAGCAGCAGCACTAGCAGCAGCACTAGCAGCAGCAGCAGCACTAGCAGCAGCAGCACTAGCAGCAGCAGCAGCACTAGCAGCAGCAGCAGCACTAGCAGCAGTAGCAGCACTAGCAGCAGCAGCAGCACTAGCAGCAGCAGCAGCACTAGCAGCACCAGCACTAGCAGCAGCAGAACTAGCAGCAGCAGCAGCACAAGCAGCGGCAGCAGCACTAGCAGCAGCAGCAGCACTAGCAGCAGCAGCACTAGCAGCAGCAGCACTAGCAGCAGCAGAACTAGCAGCAGCAGCAGCAGCACTAGCAGCAGCAGCAGCACTAGCAGCGGCAGCAGCACTAGCAGCATCAGCAGCAGCACTAGCAGCAGCAGTAGCACTAGCAGCGGCAGTACTAGCAACACCAGCACTAGCACCAAACTACCTGTACAGTTTAGTATTAAAGTTGGAACTCGACTTTTTAAACTTAAAAATAACTTCGAACTTTGTACAGCGCCACACTCCATCACTAGTGAACGGCATCACCATCATCACCCCTTCACCATCATCGTAATCACCATCTCTATGATCACTTTCATCCTGGCCTTCATCACCTCTTAACCATCACCTCCATCACCGCTCTGTCACCATCATCACAATAACCCCCATCACCGCTGTCACCATCATCACAATTACCTCCATCACCGCTGTCACCATCATCACAATTACCCCCATCACCTCTCTGTCACCATCATCACAATTACCCCCATCACCGCTCTGTCACCATCATCACAATTACCCCCATCACCTCTCTGTCACCATCATCACCATCACCCCCATCACCGCTGTCACCATTACCCTCATCACCATCATCACATCCAGCCCTCCATGCACTATACTATACATATATCCTAACCATACACTACACAAATAATTCACACAGGTTCATGAACCTGTCTATACATGCACGGGAAACTCGTATGTGTTATGCGTAAAATACAGAAATTGTTTCACGAAAAAATATTTAATCGGAAATTAAATATAATAATAATCAGAAAAAATAGTAATCTTGTTTCCATTAATCAATGAGTGAAATGTGCATGGGTAACAATGATAATCCTAACTAATTAGCGAACTAATTAATGATAATTGAGGACGGGCACGGCGACAATAATGAGTCAAACTTAAAATAGCGGTTTAATGTTCCACTCAGAAAATAATGAGTTGTATTGTCCAAATATTGACATACTTTCTTTGGAACAAAACAGAACCAGCAGAGAGCTGATGTAGCACTGATATGATCTGCTGCCGGGCCAAAGTGAGTCAGGATGACACACACGTGGACAAAAACTGCACCATTATTTAGACAATGTCGCTTATTTCTTTGAGTGTAAATTAGTTAAGGTCTTGTAGCACGTAAAACAAAACCTGAAGGCTTTAAATTAAAGTTCTTCGTTGTGAAGAACTTTAAGAACTTTTAAGAACTTCGTTTCGCATATAAAATTGAAACGTTGTTAAGTTTTTTATTTAATAACTAGAAATGTTAATGTCCAACATCAGGTACGCAATATACAAATTCTTCCACTTACGCCAAAACGAACGCAACTTTAAACGCGGTCAAGAAATTTCAATGTATATCGTAAACTTATTACGGGAATCAGTGGAAAATGTTGGGAAAATGTAGAGGAAATTTTAGGAAAAAATTCCAAAATGTTATGACGTGAAACAAAATGTATGAAAATTTTAGTAGAAAATTAGAGAAGAAAATGTTGGGGTAGAAAAATTGCGGTAGAAATTCCCCAACGGGAACGGGAATGGGCGATTGAGGCAAAAAATGTATAGATGCGAAAAAAATTTATTTCTAAGGAATTTTTTATTAAACCTTAATTTTTTAATTTCATGTTGCCAGATGCACGTCTTTTCAACAAATAATTCAATTTCCTTGCGTGATACAAAATAGAAGAACGTAACTCAACTAAATAATGAGAGAAACTAAACTAAATTCACACTTTTCACAGCAACAAGAATTCCGCTATAAAAAATCTAGGAGAAATGTAAACAAAAAATATTCACCATTTTTCTCAGAGCGCAAAACAAGCACATTTTTATAGTAAAAATTCCGTGTCACGACGAAGTTATAAAGCGATTCAATGGAAGTAAAATGAGGGTTAAATGAGGGTAAAGTCAATTGCTGATATCGTTCCGAGGGCATAGCAACGAGAAAAGTAGTTCAACCTGTTCAACATATTAATATCAACATGTTCAACATGATATTATTAAACGTGTTCAAAATATTCAACACAACATGTTCAACATAGTCAAAGTGTTCACCGCAGTGTTGTTGATATTATAATGGAAGTAAAACAGAACGTTACACGCCGAGTTTCAGCAAACTATAATAAAACGAAACCGATGATAATCATAACGCAATTACAATAAGATAACTGAAGTGTAAGAAAGCCACAAGAGTATAGTTTACTTATCACATTTTAAAAATAATTGGCTATTTTCAACACATTTTCCTTCACTATTAAAATTTCCCTTGTTTTTTCCCTCACAATTAACATTTTCATCACATTTCCCTCACTTTGCCCTCACCCTAAATAATATTAATAATGATATAATCAAAGATAATATTTGCATTGAAACTGAGCTGACGTCCCCGCAATAGACAAAATAAAAGCTAATATCGAAGCACTACCTTAAGAAGAGCGTTATTATACATAGCTTTATAATACATGTTATTCAGAAATAGTTATATAATACATCATTATGTACAGTTCCTGGCTCCTGCATCACCATAATGGTTAATGATCATCCATGTAATAGTCATAATGGTTATGCATCAAGGAATTTTATGAACACAATGGTTGTAGATCATGAATGATAATGGACCTAATGGTTATAACCAGGCATTGTACTCAACTTAATAATTATTTATCATGCATTTATATAAACATAATAGTTAGGGTTTATTGATTTTGATGAAGCTAAATGGATATTTATCATGAATTTAATGAAACATTTATCGCCCGTCGCTGGTGTGAATAATGGCGCGAATAGTGAAGTGGTAGTAACTAGCTACTGCTGCTGGTGCAGTAGTGGTAGTAACTAGCTACTGCTGCTGGTGCAGTAGTGGTACAAGTACTACTACTGCTACTGCACTTCACTAGCACGAATATCTGAAATAACACATTACAAGTTCGACAAAAATATATATCACTTAGGTCAGTTGTACCCATTGAACTCTGGTGGCAACCAAGATTCAAATCATTTAAATGTTCAAAGAAAGACAAGTTTTCAAAAGAAAAATGTACTCTGCAATAAATTTAATAAGTGAAATCGTTAGGCAACAAAGTCGGTCAGAAAACGAACTCTATGGATGGAGCAACGAGTCGGAGGTTCAAATCCCGGCGAGCTGTGATAATTCGGAGCTTACAGCGTGGGCGTGGGTGAGTTAGTCTGACCCACCTTGTTTACCCAGGGTGAGTCACATGATCTTGACTATATTAGGTCATCTTAATAGATTATTCTATTTACATGTCCTGCAAATGAATTTATCTTCTCCTAGCGGACTTGTTTCTAGATCCGCACTAGTGGATCTAATGGTCACTAGTAGATAGCAACTAGTAGATACACTAGTCGCTGGTAGATCATCTTGTGGACGCAACACGGCCGGTAGTAGATGCACCAGTCACTAGTAGATCAACTAGTAGATCATCTTGTGGACGCAACACGGCCACTAGTAGATGCACTGACCACTAGTAGATGCACTGACCACTAGTAGATGCACTAGTCGCAGGTAGATGAACTAGTCACTAGTAGATGCACTAGTCGCTTGTAGATGAACTAGTAGATCATCTTATGTATCTTAAGTATCTTGCCGAGCCTCTGCTTGGCGGTTGCCATGCCCTTCTTGGGTCTGTGGTGCCCCCCGTGGCCCCCCGCCCCCGCCGACCCTGAACTGCTGAGGTGGAGCGCCGCCCCCCCGCTCCCGGGGGGCAGCGATGAGGGGCCACAACCCCCCGACGGGGAGGACAGCAGAGAGTGGCCCCCCATACCTGGGGACCCTAGGGGCCCCCCGCGCCCCTTCTTGCGGTGATACGCGCGCTTAGCCGCCTGGGGGGGGGGGAGATAAGAATGGGGTGAGATGAGGGGGGATGTGTGTGGGGAGAGGGAGAAAGGAGAGGGGTAATGGGACTTGTCCGTCCTCATATATTAAGCTGTACCTGATGATCGAGTTATGTGACTAGGTTAGTGAGGGATAAGTAAGACACAGCTGTCCAGATAACGTATCTTGTATCCGGGAGAAAGATAAGTAAGACTCGTGTGTCTTATAACATATCTTATATACGGTATATACGGGGTGCTTATACATACATGAGTTAAGATACAGAGGTATAAGCTACGGCATCGACCGTAAGGTCGGAGAACTCTACCGACACGCTACATCGCGGAGCGCTCATCAATTAATGGGGGGGCCTTACTTAAGGTTGCCGGCCCTTATATAGCCTTCGCTTCCGCCCACAACTGCGGTGTTGAGCGCGTGATCTATCACGTGTCTTCCAGATGTTGACTCATGTCTCAATCGCTATCAGGTCAAGTGAATATTACGTCTCAGTTACATATGATCTAATTATATACCGTAATACAATTATAATGAATTTAATGAGACGCCAGATTGACACCGGCCATGAGAGTGGGAGAGGGAGAGAGGTGAGGGGATGAGAAGGGGAGGTTTAATGTTCACAAGAAATGATCCCCAGATCCCACCATCGGTGCTGTGTCCGGCTGTTCAATATACTAGGAATTTGTATTGCCTTCTACTACCAAACTACCTGTCCTACTACTACCAAACTACCTGTCCTACTACTACCAAACTACCTGTCTTCCTACTACCAAACTGCCTGTCCTACTACTACCAAACTACCTGTCCTACTACTACCAAACTACCTGTCCTCCTACTACCAAACTACCTGTCCTCCTACTACCAAACTACCTGTCCTC